ATTGTTTGCATATTTGTGTTAGAGTATTCGGTTGATTTCAATGAAATGGTAGTATGAAATGTCATAACTTACGTTTAAAATTTATTATATTATTTTGGACTGCACGTATCCTATTGAGTTTAAAATACTCATTCCTTCAAATTATATATTTTCAAGCTAGATCAGTCACTTTAGATGGTGGCCGAGTTGTGTGTAAGTTGCCAAGTAATGATTTTTAGAAAAAATAACCACTAGTTAATTTTCGTCAAGACATTTAATAGCTGCTTAAAATTCTATTAGATGTTCTAAATTTTATGATTTTATATTTTGAATGGATTAAATTCAGTTATTAAATTTCGAGTATATTAACGTTTAAATTTCCAATTAAATCTTTTCACATCAAATATAATCTATGAAATGATATCAGTAACACATCAAATTTTAAGTCAAATTTTTTGGGCATTACAGTGATTGCTTCTCTAAGCACACAGTACATTTTCTCCGAAATGATTCTTCAAGGTGACAACACTTATGCTGATGTGGTATCTTGAGGTGAGATTTCTCCTCCTGTTGTTGTAGTTTTCTGAGGTGGTTGACGTCTTGTATAATTGGCATCTTTTATGAACATTACCTCAGAAAAAAATATTGCATAAAAAATATACTTTGTGCATTCGAAAGATTTGAGAGCCTACAACAAGTGTGCTCAGTCAACTTTTCAGGTCAAAAAAGCCAGATGAACAGGCCCAAAAACACGCCCCCGTGGCGCCCCTGTTTTTGGTCCTGTTCAAGGAGCACGGTTGCTTTCAAGTTACTATTATGTATAGAATGGCTGTTTTTCAGCTTGTGTCAGTGGCCATGTCTATGATGACTGGGATTGACATGGTAGACTAGTGTGCCATTATAACAAGACCACGTGTGGAATATCCAATGGATACCACTTGTATCTTGATATAAAAGCTATATTGAATTCATTTAACAGATCTCAAGTTGTACGACGGTGTATCTTGGTATTTCTTTGTGACATACTATACAGATGCCCCATGACTAGGAAAATATTTTTAGCAGTGGAAGTATAAAGAGACCGTCCAATTCTTTGATGACCACTTCCAAGAACTCTAATAAGGATTTCAATGCTAACTCCGTAAGTAATGATGTCAAGCAGTGTTATCTTTTTCTCAAACTTGCTTCTATTTAACGATTTTCAGGTTATCATTGATAACGGGGCTTTTCAGAGGTTAACATTGATAAGGTAGGTATTTTTTTGTCATCCCTGAGGCAAGTAATAAGTAAATTCTTCACAGTTATTTTCATACTCTTGTAGCTTATTGTACATTTAGGTTGAGTTTTGTCGAAGAAGATGACGCTCCACAAAATCTGGGTGTGTTTGTTGAACAGTAATTGAACATTTCCTTTGTTTTCTGCCATAAATTCGAAGGCATATTTGGTACACACCAATGGAGTGGAGCTAAGGGCTTTAAAAGCTTCTGCTGCCAAGCTGAAATGGTAAATATATAACGAAGTTCTTTTCTTCGATGAATTGGTAGTCAGTAGAATAAGAAAAGATAAAATGATACAATCATATCTAATAAAATACTGATGTGCTAAATGGTCTGTATAATATAGAAGTGGACCAACTTCAAATTCGAAAAGTGGATTTCAAATGTGCGCATTTTTAGAGGTATTCGTGTGCAGCATGGTACACAAAATGAATATCACAATATGTCAAGTAGGACGAGTGTCGGGGAAATTTTCTTTCAGTTGAAGGAGAGGGGAAGAAAAATTAAAAGAGAAAAAACTAGAGGTTCACTTTTTTTCTGTCTTGCTAGCCTATGCTTTGTGCTTTCAAATTTTTATGGTAAAATTACATATGCTGATGAGTACTATACTGTAAATTCTTTACCTGATGATTGAGTTCTTCAATGATATTTACTTTGTGTAGTTATTTTTGACGGTTTACAAACTTGGACTCTTTCCATTACGGCATTTTTGGTAGCATGGACGAGAAAATATTAAAGAACAAAAAAGTTGAAATCTCGTTTACATTCAATAAATTTTCAATCAAAGAACTAGTGACTCTTTTGAACCATTAGAACCCTGCATGGATGTGGTCTCTACTGGTATATATTGTTGAAGTATTTCAGTTGAAATGGGAGAAATGGACTGGATACATATTCACTATGGTGTCTAATTTTATCATGCCAAGTATCGTTTACAATATATATATATATATATATATATATATACACACACACTCTTCCTTCTTTGTGCGTGTTGCGTTATTTTTATTTATTTATTATTATTATTTTTTTACAAAATCAAAATGCAATGGATTGGTGTCATGTGTCAGCTTGGAATGCTCAAGGATGTCAGAAGTTGAAAATATCCTAACTTGTTTTAAAATGTCTCTTGTTTTAAGCACTTTTTTTACGACAACCTACAGAATCTCATTGTGGGAATGGAGTTCCTCATGAGATGCGTCATTAATGTGTAGTCGAGGAAATTGATGTTTAAATGGAGGTTGGAGCCAAACTTCTGTGAGACCTTTTATCGAACAGTTAATTTGCCCATACTGAAAGCCTGTTCGTTACTGATTATGAGAATTGATTTTTTGACCGTTAAAGAGAAAAGTATGTCCCACCTGTGTCAAAAATGACGACTGGAATAATGAAATAACGATCAAAAAGTTGATTTTTTTGGTTGAAAAACTGCTACCAAACAGGAGCTGGGTATGAACTTGCCTGTATACATAGCTCCAAAATTGCATACAGTTGACAAACTCTAAATCCCAAAAAAAAAAATGAAATTGGAACAATTGGAGCTGACCCATTTGGCTTGCTGGACGGATATAGGTAGGAGTGATGTACTAAGCCAATTTTGAGTGTGACCTTATTTTTTGACGAATTGAGCCCTAAAATAAAGCCTCCCTAGTCTACTAGTTTGAGGTACAAATCAACACAAGCTCCACATTGGGCATTAATATGGTCCTAACTGCACAATGCACCACCTTCAATTCGGGTGTAATTTTCAAACTTCTACACAAACTCCACATGGGGCATTAGTAGAAATCAATGCCTTCAAGTTTTTTATGTCTCGTTGTTGAGAAAGAAAACCACAACTTCATGATATTGCAATCTATTCCACCAAGACAAAAACATAAAACAGAAAGAAATTTGTTAGGTCCAAATTATATTAACTATAGAAAATTGTTAGGTCCAAATTATATTAACTATTTCCGTGTCCAAAATCATAGTTTAATTAGTTGTACTTGAGATCAAATTATATCTCGTACTATGTTGAACCTTTATTTCAACTTAAGAGAACATCCTATAGAGATAAAAATACACATTCCATAAATCTCTTCCCTCAACCACAAAATCAAATCACAAAAGATTCAAACATCAAACACCAAAAACCAAATCATTTACCGATAATCCTTCAGAAATATGAAATTTGGAAGATACAACTGGAGTTTCAGTTGGAGAATAATGAGGTTCGCTCGTGATGATCCACACTGAGGGAAAAGTAGTTCATAGTTGTTAGAAAGTTCTGCAGGCACAATCTAAGAGATTCTTTGATGATTTATAAGTTGAATGGTCCAAATCTACTAATATTTAGTTGTGAACTAAATGTAAGTTATCTTTTGTGGAAATTACAAAAACACAGGTGTTTCAACTTCAAAGTGCAAAAATCAAGTACAAAGTTGTTTTAATCAAAATTCAAGTATTAAATTAATCATTAAATATTATACCCACCCTACCTAATCCAACACAAACCCTATCATTTTATATATCTCTCTCTATACTCTCTCACAGACGGCCTCGTCTCTCTCTCTTTAGCATCTCTCACAGACGGCCATCACCGTTGAGGAATCGTGGCCAAAGATCTGAGTGCTGCTACTTTGCCACGTTGATGTGAGAGTCAAGCACGATCGATGAAGCCTGCGCTGTTTGATGAGCGACGGTGCAAATTTTGGTTGTGCTGTACTATTCGAACTTCGATCCAGTGGCTTCGAATTTTGGGGGTGGTGGTTGCTTGTTGTTGGTTTTTGAGTGATGGTGGTTGTGATGTTGGTTGGCGATGGTAAGGTTGTGGTGATGGTCGTGGAAATGACAGCGGTGGTTGTGATGGATTAGCGCGAGATATGGATAGTGTTGATTTGATCTGATTAGTGGTGGTGTTAACTCTACACAATTTGAATTGGCGTTCGTTTTGTCGATGGTGTTGGTGTGGTATAGTCGATTATGCGGTGCAAGCACAATTACACGGTGGTGATTTGTGACCAAAATTGGTACTGGATTGGGATCGGTGGTGGAGGTATTTGGTGCATGTGACCAAATATTTAGAATATGTGACCAATAAATTTGAACATATGTGATCTTGTGACTTGTAATTATTTTGATCTGTGACCAATGAAATAATTTGTGATCTGTGACCTGCAAAATTTTTGATTTTTGGCCTATAAATAATCAATAACCAATTAATTCGATGATATGTGATCAATAAGTAAATCTGCGACCAATAATGATGAATCTATGATCATTAGTCATGTAATTATGACTTTATTATATTTAATTAATAAATATTTTCAATTAATTATACAGAACTTGAATTTTGAATTTTTAAACTTTGTACCTAATTTGTAAATTGATGTAAACAATACGCTTGACATATGAATTTTTTCCTTATCTTTTTTAGTAGATCATTTTGACAATGTTTGCCCTTTTTATCCCTGTGAAGAGTTCTTCAAAAGGCTTTCCCTCGTTACCATATTTTGTGTTGAGTTTACTTTTACTGCTTTGATCTACGTGATTGATTGACCAATTAGGGTAATATTTATTAAATTTAATCATCAAGAAACAGTAATTAGTAACTTGTTGCTTTTTATTGATTGTTATTTTATTCCGCATTATACACCTAATCACCCCCTTAGGTGTTGTTGGGTTGAAACATCCATTATTTCAAAAACAAATCTCCAAGATAAAATCACACAATCAATAATCATTTGGCCAAAAAAAAAAAAAAACACTAATTACACGTCTCGTGACTTTGTTTCCTTTCTGCCACAATGAGCATGAAATTTCACTAAAAATGGAGTAACTAGAACCTTTTGTCGTATGTAATGTGATTCTAACACCAATTTTGCAACTGCCCCCACTACTGAATCCAGGGAACTCGAGTTGCTTTGGTTTGATATCCAGATGAATAAAGAATTTTCTACTCATAACTAGTAAAAATCCCAGCCTCTTTCTCGTCCGGGACACTGTGTCCCCACGGTAATAAGAAGGACCATCTGGCCTACGGCTACTAGCTTGACCAATGAATATGGATCAAGCTATAGGTCTTCAATATTAAAAACTTGGCAGGCAATAAGAGCACAACCAGCAAATGCATGTGCTGAGATGCAACTAGCCGACTGCACCTTTTCAAAGACTCTTTACTGACTCGAAACACACCAGAGAAATTGAACTGACCTCGACCCTTATTACCTGATGAGATAGGTCCATGCACGATGATACCGCCATTTACTCCCCGTGGTTCCAAAAGTGACCACCAAACTCTGTGGCGCTGTTCTTTCTTGGCTTTTCTCAAGTAGTCAAGCTCTTGACGGATAACATTCTGAATGGAGTTGAAGTATGACTTCACATGGTGATCTCTTCTAATGGTTCCATCAGAACCATATGCCGAGCGATCACTTAATATTTCGAGTGGATGTGGTGAATTCAAAAATGTGTCTTGAGCAGCTCGGATCTGCTTCTCTGCCTCGTTGACATTTGAAACCTGACAACTCAACAGATAAAGACCACTGCCTGAAGGAAGAAGATCATGGTTCGGTGAAAAATTCTCATCTGGCTGAAGAAGTAAAAACTCTCCCATTGGAGCATATAAGAGTTTCTGTAAACACATGAACGTAGAAGAATATTTCAATTACAGAAACTTGACAAAATGCATAACAACATGTCTAACGAATGGAATTAGCCAATTACCTGGTCATGAAGGCATGGATGATTGCGGAAGTTCCTATTCACAGCCTTGAGAAACTTCGCCACATGATTAGGATATTTGCAGGAGAAAGCTCGAGGAACAATGTCTCTGTGCATTGAAATTGCCCGAACATGACTTTGAGGTAATCCAAGGTTGTGCAGGAGACGATCCCCTCCACACATAATTGATGGTGCACCAAAAGTTATAACAGGAAGTAATGAAGAAACAGGCACTTCGCCTCTTATAAGCAACATGAGATTTAGAAGCAACGATAAACTTCCTCCAAGGGAGTGTCCTGTGAAACGGAATGTTGCCTGACCTCCATGAGATTTTAGATGAGAACGAACTTCAGGCAGCATCTGCTCATACATTCCCTTTGCAGCCTCATATATACCTCTATGCACAAGCACATCCAATCCCTAATGGGAAAAGATGTATAGATTCCTTAATTAACGCTATTTCCACAGATATCGCTTGCCTTTCAATCCCAAAACACAAAAACTTCAATAAATAGTTCACAAGCTCCAAAAGGAGTGTTAAATATTACCTCAAAATTAATAGGCTCGAAGAATAGATTTGCTTGCCACGATGCCATTGACTCAGATCCCTGCAGTTAGAAAAGCAGAATATTGAGCAATAACAATCCAAGCTGTTGATTTATATTCAGTATACCAAAGTTCTGAATGGAACATCAAACTAAAGAAATGAATATAACAGGATATCCTTGCCAAGTGAAAAATATTACTCATTATAACCTATAGGCTCGTATACATAAACCGTGCAATTTCATCTGCTCCCGAATAAGATATATTACCCAAAAAACTTCAAATCATTTCTGCGGCAAACATACCTGAATGATAAAGAACCTTGTGGCGCTCCTATCATCATCGCATACAAACCACTCACAAGGCGATGAGCTAGTCGAGTTCAGATCATCTGCAACAGCCTGCTTTACTTCCTCCTTTGCAGCAACTACTGCAGTCACCAAGTCAGTGGTTGCCATTAATGAAGCTATATCTTGATTTATCATATCGATGTTGTCGATTTCTTCATGCAAATTTTCATCTGGAGCTGATTTTGAGGACTTGAAACGAAGAATGCTCTTCGTGTGAGAATGTAAATAAGAAGCAGCCGAGGCAGCAATTCGATAAGCAACAGATGCACTAACTCTGTTACCATTCATCTTATCCTCATTTAATGCCTCGTTAATTTCAGCTGCCCTCTTCTCTTCTTTTTGTTGGTCCGCAGCCAACACCTTCTCGTTCTCAGCTTTCAATACCTGTTTATTCTTGTCCAATGAAGATGTCACGAAATGCAAACCATGGTATCTCAGGAGATTCCTGGGCTGTACCAACAAAGATAAAATTAGCCTCTCCATAGCAACTCAACCAAGCATAACTCCTACAAAATTGACGCTTTGCACTAACCGATTCCTAAACTGCATACCAGCAATATAAATTAACAATAGTTTCCTATCGATATTACCAGTAAAATTTCAGAATTCATCTAAAACTCGCCAACTTAAAACGAAACAGTTAATAATTCTAACAAAAAATTGCTAACAAAAATAATAGATTCTTTCTTTTTCGAAAACGTACCTTGATTTGGGGTATGGAATAAGCTAAATTCGCCAAATAAGACATCTGAGCATATAATCTAGCTTCAGCCAAAGTCACCTTTCGAAGCATTTTTGAAAATGATTCTCTATCAAATTCAAATTTTTCTTCGTTTACTTCATCAATCCCACAAACGTCACATCCTTCATTTCCTTCACAGCAATCTCCATTTTCTTTATAATCATTATAATTTCCGTTCTGTCCCCCAATCTTTTCCTCTTCTTCCAATTTAGTCCTAATTTCTTCAACAAATTTACCCTCTTTCTCGTCTACTTCCTTCAACAAGGACCTCAAACGTAAAATCTTGAAAACCCAGTTCCCACTCTGCACTTCTTTCTCTCTCCGTCCCCTTTTGATCTCCTCCTTTTCCTCCACAAAAACAGCGTCGTCTACCGCGATCGCCGGCTCGCACCGATTTTTACCTCCAGTCCAAAGAGATCTAAGTGGGTCTTTGAAAGTAAAACCCCAAGGAAAATTACTCCGCTGGGCCGCCGCCTCCAAGGACTGCTTCTCCGACGGTCGTCCGCCTGCACTGATCTGAGAATGATGGCTTGTTACAACATCCGGGCCCGCATAACCAGCGACGGCTGTTGGCGGCGCAATTCCGGGAATCCCCGCCTTCAAACACAAAGCATCCGTTACAAACAACTTTCCCAAAGTAAAAAGGGTTTTTTTCTATGATTCTTTGTTTTCCAATCAAAATTTACGATTCTTCACGCATTTGTACTTATAAATAGCTATTAAGAAACACAGTGTGGAGGGGCCAAAATGAAATGCCGTTACCCAGGATTTTAACCTGCAGGGCTATATTTGAATTATTGGAATGCTATTTCTGTGATGAATCAATCAACATTACAAAATAAAATACAGAGAAATTTAGAGAGAGAAAGAAACACGTTTCTTGAGCGTGTTTAAGCAGTAAGAAAAACAGGTGACCAAACATGACACGGATTCTCTTGGGCTTATTTTATACGGAAAAGTATCAGTTAAGCGACAACGTTTTGTTATTTCTTGTTGTCATGTTTATTATTATTATTTAAAAAGGTGACGAACGGAATGCATTGTTAGATGTAGACTTGATTTACCACTTTGACTGGAAAATTAAAAATAATGTGGAATCTATTATAAGGTGTTTATATGCTCATTCTTTGTCCTTTGTTTTAATGAAATTTTGAGAAAAAATAATTTTGAGTATTTTTTTTAATTTTTTCTGGAGAATATATGTGATTAAAAAGTACGATAAAAAATTTGAATTTACGTACAAAAATAATATTATGGAAGAATATGTATTTGAAAATGAGTTTTGAGAAAAATAAATTTTAATAAAAATGGAGCTCAAATAATATATTAATTTAATATACTTTTTCTTCATTTTTAATCACACATTTTTCATTAAAATAATATTACTCATAAACCTTTTTTTTTTTTTTAACTTTTTGATTACACATCCTTCAAAATTCACTATTATATAATTCATTTTTCTCATAAAATGGGGCTCAAACGACTAGAAACAAGAAATTAACAATCAACTTTGACTGTTCATTATGCAAAATAGTTTATAACAAGCAAAAAGTAAGCACTGATGCCACTTTTGAAATTTACTTAATTATGCAGAGCGGAATTTAAACAAAATTTCAATTCCCACCAAAGATATGCTTTGTATTTAGATAGAAATAGTGATATAATTTATACCTTTATGAATTTTACAAACTCTTTTGTTTTTCTTGAATTTCAACAATCATGATTGCAATCCACATGTGTCCCATTGTCCGACCTCCAACGAAAATTCACACAAGAATCAAGATTTAGAGAACTAGAGTTTTTTACTTTTCTTGTACCGGCAAGAATATGAATTATATTTTCTACAGTTTTCAAACCTTGGCAGCTCATTTGTAAGCCCAAATGGGCTTAGCCCGTCTTATAACTTAATCCGATCTAATATTTAATTAATCCAATTAATTAAATTTAGTCCATGAATTAAAATTAATTCGGGCTTATTAATAAGCAACACAATTAATTAATTATCCAGCATTTGTTAATTAATTAATTGATGAATCTCATTCTTCTAGTTTTCTTTTAGCGTATGATCCATTAGGTTTCCAATCACGATATCTAACGGCGTGAATTATTATTTTGGTTTAATCAAAATCGATAAAATAAAACACTCCTATTAATTTATCACTAATCCACATCCGTCATCCCAAATTGACATCTAGCAATATGTTAGGGCAATACATGCGAAAAAAATTTCACGTAGTATGATCAAACCAAATTGTACGTTTACCATGAAACTATTATCCATTCGTTAATATGATCCGATCAATTACGAGAAATAGAAGTATATCAATCTTGATTATCGATTATATCTTTCATTCCACTATTAAGTCAATATAAGTCGAAAACTCATTTTCGAATTATGTGTACACTTTCACAAAGGATTTCATTATCGACTTAACTAAATATAATGTAAATCATAATCTCTTACTATTTAAGATTGATGAATCCTCCATTGATCATTCACTACCTTCTATAATTATTGACATACCTGAGTGATATCATATTAGCGGTCCTTAACAGAGCGAAATCCAACATCATCAAAGTACGATTGTCTTTTTATAAAGCACTATGATGACCTCAATTCAATGAATCAATTTCACTATTGAAAGTTAGAGATTAATCACTGATACTCAGATAGTTATCCATGTGGAATCTCCTAGAGGTCTTCAATATTTTGTTCTATAACAAAACATCCACGTGTTCATTCAAGTGTCACCACACTTTAACTTGTGAGATCAGCTACTTACTTTACAAGTAAGAAATGTCACACGTGATGGTCCATTTATAATAACGATGTCTGTATTTCATTATTACTTATGAACACGAATGATTTAAGATTTAAACATATGTAATTTGTATCTCACGATCACAACTTTGTGATTAACAAATTACTAAGATTTAAAATCCTGGGACACTATTATTTAATTTGATTCAATATTAATAGATCTGCCATAAAATTGCATTAATTATATATTAAAAGTATTTATGTCCAAAGTTGATTGGATTTAGGGCATAACACTTAAAAACTCTTACTTGCATTAGATCCAATCACTTATGTATCTAATATCATAAGAGTGTACATGACAATCATTTTTATACTGCAATAACTTTTTGTCAATGTATCTGCAAAATTATCAATTGTGGGAATTCGTTCTTTCTTTATGTCATTTCTTTTTATGATCTCTCTGATAAGATGATATCGCTTTAAAACATGTTTAGACAACTGATGAGAACTTAGATCCTTTGTTTGCACGATGGCTCCATTGTTATCACAATGTAGAAGTTTATGATCAACAATGTTTGGAACTACTTCAAGTTCATTAATGAATTTTTGATCTAGATCACAACTCTTTGCTGCTTCTGAAGCAATGGTGTATTAGGCTTTTCTATTGAATTTACGATTGTTTCATGTTTGGAACTTTTCCAACTAACTGCTAGAGTAAACCATATCTTGATTAAGATTTGCCATCATTCTAGTTTGACCAGAAGTAATATCAATGTATCCATGAACTCTCACTTTATTTTCTCTATACAAAATCTTCTTAAGATTTTATCTATGTAGATTGGAATGAGTTAAGCAATTTCATCAAGTTACTTCTCCTACATCTTTTATAGAGATATTATTTAACAACCACGATTTTAACGATTGAAACATAGGGATGTCATTTCCTATTAACATGTTATATACATATAATGTTAGGAATACGACAACACTCCCACTATCTTCTTATAAACACACGGGTCTTCTTCAATTTTGATAAAATCAAACAATTTGATTTTTATAAAATCGAAAATTTCAACTCAAGAGGCTTACTTCATTCCATATAAGAATTGATTAAACTTGCAAACCTTGTAAGCATATTTGGATTAAAAACTTTTGAGTCGTGTCATATACGCTTCTTCTTGCAAGTTCCTATTAAGGAATATAATTTTGACATTCTTTCGTTGTAGCTCATAGTCGTGGTATGTAGTTATTGCAAGAAAAATCCAAATGGACTTTAACATGGCTATATGCTAGAAGGTTTTTTCAAAGTCAACTCCTTGTCTTTATTTGTAACATTTTGCTATTAGCCTCACTTTGTATGTATGGATGTTTTCATCCATGTGGACCTCTTTGTGTAAACACATTTACAACATATGTGTTAGGAATACGACAACACTCCCACTATCTTCTTATAAACACACGGGTCTTCTTCAATTTTGATAAAATCAAACAATTTGATTTTTATAAAATCGAAAATTTCAACTCCAAGAGGCTTACTTCATTCCATATAAGAATTGATTAAACTTGCAAACCTTGTAAGCATATTTGGATTAAAAACTTTTGAGTCGTGTCATATACGCTTCTTCTTGCAAGTTCCTATTAAGGAATATAATTTTGACATTCTTTCGTTGTAGCTCATAGTCGTGGTATGTAGTTATTGCAAGAAAAATCCAAATGGACTTTAACATGGCTATATGCTAGAAGGTTTTTTCAAAGTCAACTCCTTGTCTTTATTTGTAACATTTTGCTATTAGCCTCACTTTGTATGTATGGATGTTTTCATCCATGTGGACCTCTTTGTGTAAACACATTTACAACATATGAGTTCTATCCCATCAGGTTGGTCAAATAAGGTCTAAACCTTATTTACAAGCATTGAGTTCATTTCGAATTTCATGGCCTCTTGTCAGCTTTTTGACACTTGACTTTGTTTTTTTGCAATTAGTAAGTTCATCATCCATGATTAGTAATGCCTGATTAGTAATTATGGATTTGCACATTCTTGAAGATCGAATGATCCTACCAGATCTACATAAAACTGACGTATTGTCAGAAATCTCTATTTTTTTTTTTATCAAAAGTATGTCCTTCGGCAGGTGTGGGATCAGACTTAGGTTTATCTACTTGGTCAACTATATTCTAGATTCTTGAACTTCTTCAAGTTCTATTTTGCTCCAAATGTTCTCTCCTAGAATGAACTTTCTCTAGGAAGACGATATGCCATGAGACAAAGACTTTCTTTTCAATGTGTTTATAGAATTGATATCCAAATATCTGTTTTTAATATCTCACAAATATGTATTTATCGAATTTAGTTTCAAACTTATCTGATTTAATGCACTTCATAAGCGTCACAATCCCAAACTTTAATATGAAGAAAGTTGGGCATTTTGTCTCTCTATCGTATGGAGTTTGGTAAATCAACATAGATGGGACAAGATTAAGTGTGTAGCACGCTACAATCGATGCATGATCTGCAAATTGATTTTGGAAGATTTACAAGACTTGTTATTAATGGCACCATATATAATAGTTTACGATTCCTCATTCCAGATACACTACTATATTGCAGTGTATGTGAAGGAGTCCACCATAAGAGAATCTCATTCTCTTTTAGATAATCTAAAATTTCATCTTTCAAATATCCCCGCTTGATCGAATCTTAGTGTGAGAATGTCTTTATCTAATTATTTCTATACTTCTAACTTGAACCCCTTGAATTTTTTCAAGAGCTTCTTGCTTGATTTTCAAATATATGACTATTTCTGAAATAATTATCAGTAAATGTGATGAAATAAGAAAAACCTCATATAACATTAATTAATATTAGTACATATACATCTCTATGTATTAAACCTAGTAATTATGTAGATTTTTCACCTTTTAAGCAAAATGAGATTTGATCTTTGTGTCTACTAGGTATGATTCGTATTTGTCAAATGATTCAAAATCAATTGACCCCAAATATACATCTCTATGTAATCTTGGAATTACATTTTCATTTATGTGACCAAATCTGTGATGACAGATTTAGGTGCTATTTAGATTATCACTTTCATGCTTTTTTTTTGTTTCGATACTCATTATAGAATACTCGATATTTAGAATATAAATATCATTTTGTAATTTATCATAATCAATAAGATCTTATCAAGATAAAAATGAACGACAATTGTCCTTAACATTAAAACAATTCATGTCCAAATATGAGATCCGTATCTGGTGTCTAATACCCAAGCAGCTAATGAACTAGATATAAGCATTGCATTTTTTCTTCCAATGACCTATCATTTTAAAATGATAACAAAGGTCATTAGATTTTGTATTGTCCTTCTTTGCTTTAACCGTCTTGCCATCTTGGATGCTTTTTCAAAGCCCTTTAGACTTCTTCTTAATACTCTTAAAGGAATCAATGACTTGTCTACTACTAATATTGATATTGGGCTTAACGATCTTAAACATGTTCAACAACTCAATGAGTGTGCATTAAAGCTTACTCATGTTAAATTCATAATAAATTGTAAACAGTCGTATCTAACAGAGATTGCAGAACCATGTCAATACTTGGTTCATGGTTTATGATTGAACTCGATTAAGACAACTTTTTAATGCCAATCATTTTCAGTACATGAGCACTGACTAAAAATTTCTCTGTAATTTTGCACCGATGTAGTTGCTTGGAAATCTCATATCCTTCCATATATGATTATTATAATGCAACTCTTTGAATTGAAAATCATGTGTTAGGATCTAAACTCTCATGTTGCTTTTGTAACTCAGGTAACATAGTTGCAAACATCACACATGTGCAGTACAATCGTCATCACAGTGTTTATATAGTAGCTACATCTTTCTTAATCGAGTCATTAGCAGATGTCTTTGGAAAGAGCTACTTAAAGATATAACCAATTTTTTAATGTCTAAGAACAATTCTCAGATTGCAGTCCCAATCAAGAAATTTTGATTTGATTGTCGGCATCTAATATGTCTCTCAAATACACATGGTTACTCATGATTCAATAAATATAAATAATGAAAAGTAAAAGAATAACATGAAATGCATCAATTAATTTAACAGGTTTTTTTATTAAATTAATTATGTTTTCATTGTTTAACTCAAATTTATGACCCTCTTGTATAAATTTACGGAATCTATATGTGACCCCAATGGGCTGGGACCCCATTTATTGTATTAAGACCTTGAGTGTACTCAACAAATATTAATAAAACATTTGAGTAGATAATATTATTAGTTGTATCTCCATACAACTCCTATATCATTGAGCTGACAACTTTTTATCTTCACATATTTTATATGTTAGCTTCACATTTCTCTAGAACTTATTTTCTTGAGTGTACTAAAAAAAAATTAAAAAAAATTAGTTTAGTCAAACCCATAATTTAGAAATGTCAAATATTTCATAGTGTTAAACATATTCTCTATAAATCAGTCTTCTCAACAAGCTGAGATCGATTTAAGACTCTTATTTTTCACTATAATGATGGAAGATAAATAATTATTCTGACTTAATATTTTAGTAAGGGATTTATCATGCGAAGGATTCATCAATATATATATATATATATAGTTTGTGTGTGCGCGTCAAACATGCAAATAAACATATATGTAATAGTTTGGATGATTATGAACTAATTCTATTCAGCTTTTTCGAGCAAAAAGGAAAACTAGTTGGTTAATTCTTAGGGGTATTGCATTAAATTAGTATCAATGCACAATCTTCATGGTTTCCTCCTCTTTTTATGTCTTTAATTAGTCCAGCTACAATATGTATCCTATATTAATTGGCATGCATGTCTAAATGAAACTAGACTCACAGACCCATAGTAATAACAATGATAACAGACTCGTGGGTTCTAAAAAAATTAAGAGCTCTCAAGCTCATAAAGCGATAAGATTAAAATCAATTTAACACATCCACATGGTCAAGTCCATAATCATCCACTAATAAACATTCATCAAATAAATGATTTCCTATATAATGTCTAATATTATATGCTTATATATTTCAAGTTTCTAGCAATGAAGGTCGTTTAAACTAATTTAGGTAAATGGATCAAAACAATTAAATAATTAATCAATCATATTAATCAATTAATTTAATTAGCGGACATATTTAATTAAAATAAAAATTTAATTATATATAACAAACTAGAGTCTAACTCTCATTTCACAATTATAGGGTGAACTATTTAATTAAAATCAAATTTGATTAAATGTCAAATTAGGGTCCAACTCTAATCTCAAAACTTATGGCGGTTGAATATAATGAAAATTAAATTTTAATTAAGTAGCAAAACTAGATTCCAACTCCAATTTTAAGATACTAGGGAGAACTTATTTAATTAAAATCAAATTTTAATTAAATACTAAATTAGAGTCCAATTCTAACTTCAAAAAAATTTTATGGCGAGACAATTTAATTAAAATTAAATTCTAATTAAATGTCAAGCTAGAGCTCAACTCTAATTTTAAGAATATATTGGGATGAATAATTAATCAAGGTCAAAGTTTAACTAAATAGTAAGTTAGAATCCAACTCTAATTTAAATTGAATCAATATTTTAAATTAAGATAAAACTCCAAAATAAAATAAAATAAAATTCAATCTAGGATCAACGTTTAATATTGGGATTCGCTAGAAAACCCGAGCCACATAGGCTCGGGATAAGAGGCTTTACTCTTT